TTTCCCTGATCCTTTGAGCAAATGCTGAGATGGCCCCTTGTTTGCTCCTGAACAGTAATATAACTTCGATCTCTCCAACCAAGGCATCATATTGACTCGTCATACACGATTGTAATTGTATACGTGTGACTCAATAAATATTATTATTATTATTATTATTATTATTATTATTATGTCGTTAGAAAGGTTTTGTAGTGGCAATCCTGAGTTAAATAAAAAGTTCTGAGATAGATATTTAAAAACCTCAGAATGGATAGTTTCAGACAACCGAAATATCTCAATCTTGAAGGAAATATCAATGAAAACTGACGTGTTTGAAAAAAAAATGAGATTAATATGACGATGACGGGTAAAAGTGATGAAGTTGATGAAAGAAAAACCGCAATATTCCTCACTTTAGTGGCGGAGAGGCAGTAGAATTATTAATTTGTTTGTTTTTTATTTCCAAATAGGGCAATTATATGACATATTTAATTTCAGCGTTGAACGAACTAATGACGTTGCAAACATAATAGCAAAATTTTCGACACTAGCTTGTTAACTAGGTCGAATTCAATCGCAGTCTCGAGGAGAATTCTAGAGGCCAACTGCTCTGATCGATAGTTTTCCGTGGTTTCTCCGATCAACACCAGGCGAATGCCGGAGCAGTGCCCTAACAAACTGAGTCCGGATCGCGCGTGATCTTTCCTTCTTCTTCCTTGCCCTAACCTCACTCCTTACACACGACTTACACTAACATGCACTACACTACTACACATGCCTGGAGACCATTCGGGAACTTGTCCCAGCTGGTGGGAGATACCCCTTTTACTGGCTTTTTCCCATATGAAAATGATTATTTTTGCCTTCGCCTTTGTAGTCAAATCTGGAATTAATCTTGCAAGGCAATTTATTGATCACAATATCTTTCTTCCGATCGTTCTTTGGTTCATTCCATATCTTCAATCGCGTCCGCTCGAATTTTGTCGACATATATGCCAGTTTCGTCAATCAAATTCTCTAAAATTGTCATAATTAGTTGTTTTCGGGTTTGTAGGCCGTGGTCCAACGGACACTGGTCCAAACGTTTCGCCTGCAACTGTGACAGGCATTATCAGTGGCGTTGCTGGCGGGGGCGAAGTGTCCTTTTTGGCAGCACCGCGTTGACTGACGCTCCCGCGGCTCTGGGACCTGCATTAATGGTGAAAGGCGAGGTTCGTGCGCTCGCGTCTGATTGGGTCGCGCCACCGGTACTGGTTGGCTGCCGAGTTTTGGTCTTACGAAGTGGCGGGTACCATGTACTGTTTCATTTTTTGCTTCTTCTTTTCTGTTGAAATTGTTTTTATGTTTGTAAATCTCGATGGCTTCCATTTGGAGTCTCTTGTAGTAGTGTGTGGTGGTGGAGAAAACATCCGTCCCTTCAAAGCGCATGTCGTGTCCGCGTCCCGACAGCGCGTGATCGGCGACTGCTGACTTATCAGTATGTCCTAGACGGCAGTTCCTTTTGTGTTCTTTTATCCGAGTATTCTGCCTGTAGTACCTATGTATACGGAACCGCAAGAGCAAGGAATTCTGTATACTCCAGCTAAAGACATGCCATCCTGGGGATCTTTGGCCGAACGTAAAATGTCACGGATTTGTTGGGTGGGTTTAAAGACAGTTTTAACCCTGTGTCTTGTTAACAGTCTCCCTATGCGGTCCGTTACCCTCTTCACATAGGGCAGGAAGACTGTACCGAGTAGAGTATCTTCTGTGTGGTTTTGTTCATCTGCAGGCGAATTAATGGCACTCACAATAGGCTGTAGTGGCGTGTCCGGTTTGTGGACCTTTGGTAAGCCATATAGTCTAGGAGGTTGCGCCTGCGAAATCTTTAGAAACCTCTGTTCCTCAGGTGGTATAGAGGATTTCGTGATTAGGTCATTGGACTTGCGTAAAATAGAAGCCGTAGGATCTTTGGGAAGAGGCCTGTAGTTAGCGGTATTCAAAATGTCCCTGATTTTCTGTTGGTAATCTTCAGTGTCCATAATGACCGTCGCATTACCTTTGTCTGCAGAAATAATGATGATATCCTTATTCCCATTTAAGTTCTTTAGGGCAGATTTCTCGTTGTTGGTAATATTGCAAACAGTTGGTTTAGCATGTTGTAGAATTCTTGCAGAGTCATGTCGAATTTCTTCCGCTACGTCCGGTTGCAATTTGCGAATCACTGCTTCGATACTGGCAATGATATCTTCAACAGATAAATTAGTTGGGGTAATGGCGAAGTTGCCTCCTTTGGCTAAAACCGACGTTTTCTACTGTGTTAGTTGATGTCTAGAAAGGTTAACCACGACACGTCTGATATCTAATTTAGGTGCACATTGCGCCGTATTGTCAAATAATTGACTATATTTCTTCTTATGGTGTGTCGTAGTACGTTCTGATATGCACATCATGCTGTTGTGGGTTAATCTGTCAAATACATCCCAATCGTAATATCCAAGAGAATTGCTAACTTGTAGGTGAATTTGGAGCAATTCCTTATCAATAAAGGACAAATTCTGGCGTGTTTCGTGAATTCTATCTCGTAAAAGAGCTCTTTCAGTGCGATCGTAAATTCGGTGTGATGAAGCAGTATTGAAATTACGTTTATGTCGTAAAAATCGTGGTATGCCGTTGGTTTCACAATCTTTCGAAACTACATTTTTACTGAGATTACTTTATGTAAGTAAAGTAAAGTATATAAAAATCACTTTACGACAGAATGGCGCTGGACCTTGTTCTAGAAAAGGTGTTCTAGGAAGTTCTAGAAAATTTTGTTCTATAATTCCTTCGTCCTCCCATGCCTTTGAAACTATTTTTTTGATATGACCTACCACATTGCGCCATTGTTGTGTTGTCCTCTCCACAGACTCATTTATGAGATTTTCCACCTCATATAACATAAATTTTGCATTCTCTGCCACGTAACCTTTCATTTGCGCCCAAACTTTCTCAATGACAAAAATGATAAAATGACAGTCGTAGGGCGACAATCGAATTACCTCATGTCCATGTTTTTGGCCAATTCATCAATAGCGTATACAGTGGCTTTAATTATGTTCCATCTTCCAACAGTTCTGCTTTTAACAAATTCTGGATATCTTTAGTGTTCGAATTTTGGCGCACCAACCATTCAACAATCTCATATTTTCTATTCGCCTACGTTGGAGCTAGTAAGGGTGGTGAGGGGAGAGTCCACTAGAGTGATAAGGGGAGTTGTCCAACTATTTTTGAACGTTTCCTCAAATTCGGTAACAATTTTCTTTCAAACCATTCGCGAAACGTGTCCTGATTCATTTCCTCGGGGTAGTCGTCAGTTTTACTTGATCGGATAACTAACAAAGCGTTTTCTATGAACCCTTCGGGAGATCCAGCATGAACTACAGTTGTTCTATTCCCTTTACCAGTGGACACTGCCATTGTTCCTTTGACAGTGTCGTCTGCCCATCCTTCGCTACATGTAAGTCCTGCGCCATGTCTCATCTAACCACACGATATCATTAAATTTTCTTTTAATTGCCTCCTTAAAATCTACCACGCCACAATATCTGGCTATATATAACTACTTTTGTACCATTTATATTTTTGTATTTAAAACTTAGATCATGTAACACATTTATTAAAGATTTGCTAAAGACCCTAAACATATCACTATCAGCCAAGGTTTCTTTGAGTTTGTGTAATGTGGGGGGCTTCATCCGGTTTTAAAATTCATAAATGTCGGCGAATTGCTCACTCGGAAAATAATCGATGTTTGTTGCACTTTTTTCGATTCTCCTATTCTTCCCTGGCGTTTCTAACTGAGATGATTCCCCTTGCTCTTCCTTGTCTCTCATTCTCTCTTTGCCTATTTTAAGACTAGTGTCTTTGGAAATTGTTAATGCTGCTGCAGTCCTCTCCTCAACTTTACTCACTGCCACAGTGGACCATTGTTTTTCTTTCACCTGCTGGAATTACTTTCTCACATTGCAGCGTATTTCCCGCGACTGACCTCGCAAGGGAACACGTCGACCAAAAATTCTCTCTTTCTTTCTTTGCGAGGACGTTTTCTGGGGCGTCCTTTCTTACTCTCATTACTTTCCGACATTCTCCGCATCAATATAATATTCACCACAAAGTGTATTCTTGGCTATCCGGGATGAGCCGCGTCTCAGTTAATTGGACTGACGTTTCGGCCATCTTGCTGTGGCCTTCTTCTTCAGACACTTTGCAATACCAGCAGTATAGCCAAGAATACATTGACTCCAGCTGCGGAAGCCCACGAACCCTTCACCACAAAGTATCTGAACGAAAAAGTACTACTCACGATAACACTGCTCAAAACAACGACAAAGAAGGACCCAAAGAACGAGATAATTTTTTTCAGTGTAGCGCGTCGTCACTGACCAGCAACTGTAATTTGCGAAGCGTACCAAAGTTGACAGGAGATGGACAGGAAAGGCCTCTTAAATCTGTCATTGCGCCCCGGCTCACCCCCTCGCGCCATGCCGGCAGCCTGGGCGAAGCCCCCCGTCGCGCACGCGGTTCTGTTTAAGCCTGATTTACTCGATCATTTTTCGCTGGTACAGAAAACATACAGACCAGACTGGATGTAATTTGTACGAAAAAACAACAACAACAAAACAAACGAATGCTTAATTTTTTGGTACAGATTTCATCCACTTTGACTACAGTGCTCCTGGCACTTCCCGGAACTTTCTCTGGTTTGTTATGCGTGTGGAGCGATATGATCATTTTGTAGTTATCTGAGAGCGTTCTGATATGTTGCATTGTAATGTGAAGTGGTTATGTAATGAGAAATAAATTGTGTTCTGTATTCTAATATTGTCGCATCTGTGCCCTGTCCGAATATAACTGAACTTAATTTGTTACCACAGATGCGATGCTCAAATGTTTGAACTTCAGCATTATATGCGGCGTCCGGAGGAAGTATTTTCTTCACGATTACGTACAGACAGAAATGACCGTGTAAAACGCTGGAATCACTCTCACCCACTTTCGGCACCGAAACATACTGCGTAGAAATGAACGCTTTTTTTCCCATCCATTTACTGTACAGAAATATGATGAAAAAAGGATGCAAAATGACCGTGTAAAACAGGCTTAAAGCCTACCATGGCAACTACGTAACGATCGGCCCCCCGATACGCAGCCGCCATTTGTTGAGCGCTGCCCCCTTCAGTACAGCGCTCCGGGGGCCCAAATCGGTTTTAATTTAAATCGGACCATAGTCTATTTGGATGTGGTAATGAAAATAATCATTGGACATACTTATAGGCTTTAGGAGAATAAAAGAGCAAAGTAAGTGAAAACTGTTTCACAAGGTGACTGTACCATCTTCCCTTTTTATCACATTTAGAATTTTGTTACCGACTTTTTATAAACTCATACAAAAACACTAAAATTTTCTTGAAGAGCTGCTTCCAAGTCAGAATTTGAATGTCCTTTCTTTCTCATTTCTTCGTTTAATTCTGCTATATTACTAATCTTCTTATTCCTGTGATTCAGTCTCATTTGCAGTATTTTAATTTTCTTCCTCAGGATGGCTGTGGTCGGCGACTGTGGGAAAGGGTCTGTCTGAGTCTCCTGATATTTTTCTTTGCTAGGAGATTTGCACTGATTAACTTCCGTATCAGAATTGCCTAATATATCCTGTAATACATAAAACCTCGTTAATGTGGTCAAACAATTCAATAATAGGTATCATCATTGTTGAAGCCAAATTATTCCTTTCATACATTTTTCATTGGAATAAAGACGAAAATTATATTATATATTGCATAACGTGCTGGATTCGCAATTGGGAGACCTGGGATCGATCCCCGGGCCGGCTATCCTGACCGGGTTTTATGTGGTTTTCATCGGTCACAAGGCGAATGCTGGGATGGTTCCAAAAGCCCATGAATACCCCCTACTACTCCACCGAACACATCCTACTATCATCCTAGTCTTTCGCCCCTCATCATCACCCTATAATAATAATAATAATAATAATAATAATAATAATAATAATAATATCATAATCTTCCCTCAAATTGATATTCAAGGTTACCAACCTTGGTCTTCACCAAGGGGGATGCAGCGAAATGCCTGATCCTAATAAGTTCACATGTTGATCAACTCCAGGATAGAATACAAGGACCGTCGAAGACAAGATTGTTGCATGGTCAGTAGCGGTCCATACGCGAATAATAATATGTATGTATGTAACATATAATATATAATTATATATATATATATATATATATATATATATATATATATATAAGTATATAAGGTCGCCTCACAGATGTTCACTGTCCGAAGATGAATATAAAAATCAAACACAGAAGGAACTGCATCTTATTTCAGTAACATTTTACTCCCGGTCTAACCCCAAAATGTATGAAATTATAAGCATGAATACAGCTGAGGTAAATTGACTTCTCATATACTGTTACAAATAATGATCACTGTCAAATTCATACTATAATTAATATTAACCTGATAGCAATCCTCAAGAAAATGTTTGCTGTCGATTGTGCTACTTATGGTTTCCTTTTCTTTCTTCATAGACCATAAATTCATTTCTTCAAAATTTTTGTCCGAGAAAAGAGGAATCTAGTGTAAAGCAGAAATGCAATACCAATTTATGTAGGATTTATAGTTAAAGAGTTGTGATAAAGCATCGTACCATGGCGTAACTTCAAATACAGTTGGAAAGAGAAATTTCTTAATTTGATACTGAATCCCACTTCCAGTCTTCTGGAGTTGTTTGCAACCGCACGCAACACAATACTTTGTGTTTCATGTGTTTGCACGCAACACAATACTTTGTGTTTGTACCATTGTGTTTCCTGTTAAAAAACAAAATTAATCGAAATAAAGCCACAACCTTTCCACGTCGTACCAAACACGCAATAATACGATACACATTGGAATACGCTCTAGGTTTGCCATCTCCCCAGAATCAGGCGTCACCAACGAGATAGAATATACCATTGTGAAAATAACCTGGAATATACTATACACGGTGGAAATAATTATTTCCACCAGGATACTGTATATAGTTTATTCTAGCTCGTTACTGACTGAACTTGGAAAGTCTGCCGTAGTCACGCCCCCAAAGGATTTCCAGCATTGCAGTTGTGGATCCAATTTATATAGTTGAGATCACTGGGCCATCCAAATGTATCTAACTTCGTTCACAGGCATACAATGTCAAAGAGTATAAACACACACAACAGAACAGAGAGTATAGAGCGTGTTGCAAAAGCAGATGGCATCCTTGGCATCACACACCACCACACACTCTGTCGGATTGTGTTGTTGTGGGGGGCCATCCAAATCCGGCGTGTCTAACTGGGCTTGCAACGTGTGAGATGGGGAAGGTAGCAAAGATATTAAGCATATGGACGAAATAAATATGCGTTTACGTGACTCTAAACTCCCTGTTACGAATCAACCGAAGGCATTCGTTATTAGATAGCTAAATTTGTATTCTTGTGATTGAGGTGAGTGAAAAAACGAGTGAATATAATCTTATCTTCAGGTTATGTTTGTTATTGCCTTCATGAGGGTAAGCAATTTAGCGCTCAGTGGTTGTGTCAGAATATGAATTGAGCTGTGAAGTTAAATACCTCAAATATAACTTGTTATAACATTTTGAAGCGATGTAAAAAACTAATAAAAGCTTCCCGTGGAAACCCCTTTCTTAACAAGCTGATTCAAGATTGACATCACCCTAGGCTTGATATCAGTATTGTAGAAATAATCCCCTCCAAGAAAAATCTCTTCTTTGTGATCTGTCAGTTTTTGAAATGACTCTGTGACTTTCTTGGTTTTATAACATAGCCATGCAATGAATCTTGTTCTGAGACAAACTGTATTCGATATACCTGTCTGGCACAGTTCTATGATTGGAGCCCAGTAGTTGTGTATCTTGATATTCCTGCGTTTGAAACAGATTTTGATATTTATCTAGTTTTGCTAATAGCCTCTATTTTAGTGTTGCAAGATAAATATGTTCTGTTTTGTTTTGACAGTACTAAATTAGTCTACTGATATATCTGTATATTCTTAAACACAAAATTACGTAACATAAAATGGGAATAATATGATGTATCTGATATTTAGACAACTCAACTTACATGATGCCTCGGTACTTTTGCATGTAAATTTAAGACTAGAGAATCCGGGAAAGTCTTCTTTCTTGACTGCAGAGAAGTTCAAGAGCTATCTTGTGGTTCTACCAAATTGTGGAGTATGTATTTTGCTCATTGATTCTCATTTAAATATCATATGCACTATTGGCTTTATGTAGTTTTAACTGTTTATTGTTTGTAAATAAAATTTCAGAAAGAGTTCTTACTGACAGTTGGTCAGCGTGGGTGAATTAATAGAATAATTAACATTACTCAACAAGTTAATCAAATTCATATACATAAAAAGTATTTCCTCACATAATTAAATCTTTTTTATATGAAGATAATAAAATATGTTAAATTTTTTATATTTATTTAATTTTATTAAAGAATTTTTCAACATTGTTTTTTAAGTGTATTTGTTTCTATTGTAGGTCACTACAAAATTGCAGATGGCATGTGGAATTCAAGATGACATAAGTGTCGTTATGCATAATGGTGATAGGGAAACTGTTCAGCCATCTTCTAATCATCAAGAAAATAATCCTATTACCATAAAGAAGAAAATTAATACTAAAGAAGATCTAAAACCAAATATTCCTGTTAGAAGAAAAGCAGTTGGCAGTAGTGAATTAGAAAATTTCAACTCTTCTGTAGAACCAAGAAGAGAAAAACTTCTCGGTCATTTTAAAAAACATGTATGTAATAGTTTTATTTGTCTTGTACTATGTTTAGTCCAAGTGTATTAATTGAGTTTGCAGTAATGACTGGTAATGTAAGCATCTGTTTGCGCAATTTAATCACCAAATTGTTAATGTTTTCATATTATCAACTTTTTTAATTAACTACTGCTATGTATTCACAAAGGGCAGGAATTTTACTATATTTTTGAGAAATGAGCCATGTAAGAAGTGGAGAAACAGAGCAGTATTGAAGACAAACTCTCTGATATTGTTTTTAAAAACCATCTTTTTATTCTATGACATTTGCCTGTAGGAATATTACGTTTTTTTCAGATATTAACACCTTTCTCTTCATGTGAGCAACATCTTATGAAAAGTGAAGTTAGTTAAGTTTTTAAACTTTAATAAATTCTATTGGAAATCTGGTTGTCAGTTCTTTGATAATCTAAATTCCACTTTATATTAGACAATTATCTGGGTGAGATAAACAAAGTCGTTTAGAAAATAAATTAATTATTTAGTATTGTTGTTCTTTAGTCAACAAGGTTTTCTTCAACAGATATTGTTAAACTCGTGTGAGTTTTGAAGTTAACGTATGCTCCGTTTCTTACTTTATTATTTATTAAGTAATGTATTGTCATGACTTTTAATTTTTGCTGAAAACACTGAAATGTAACATTTTTGTTATCTGTAGGTTTGTTGCAAAACTGGCCATCACAAAAATTAAATTGATATGTTTCCAACAATTTTTATTACTACACATCCACATTTTCCTTTGTTTAGTTTTATAGGATATTGAAAATCATTGGTTTAGTTGTAATGTTTTTGTCTTCCTGAAAATGTTGACGATTTGGAGATTGCTCATTTTCAACTATACCTCTCATTTATAGAATTGTCTTGTATCTAAAAGTTGCAATAGCATTTGGGTCAGTATGCCCTCAAAAAAAAGGAGTAATGTTGTGAAGAGGGGGACTACAGCATTTTAATAGCTAAGAAATTTTAATTCTAGAATTTTTCTTTCCATTCTTGTATTTTGTACTTTCTCTTTCCATAAATTGTTAGAAAACAAAATGGAATGTGGTTCTTGGTTTAAAAAGAAAAAATAAGAAATTATACAGCTGTGGAAAGCAGACTGCATTGTGTATTAATATGCTGTATATTTTCAGTTTCTGACAAGGTGTGAAGATGAAGATGGAGGCGAGTCTGATGTACGAGTTCCTCCTCAAAAGCTTTTGGAACCAGTTATTCCACCGACAGAGAGATTTGGATTGGACTTAACACCAACTTTACAGTATGTTATATGATCTCAAGATTATGACTAGGTTTTCTTAAATCCATTTTATTCCTGATATATGATTAAAAGACATTTAGATATTTCAGAAAAACTCTCATAATCAGTTGCAACATAGTTGTTTTCACGGTCTTTGTTGATATTTATATTTAGTAATGTATGGTGTACAGTTAGATGGGTGCTATTGTCAGTTATTGTTGTGTAGTTGCTTGAAAGTAATTCTATTTGGAGATTGAGTTATAAGAAACACTTATTCATTCACAGTTATACTTCCATTCTTTGTTTCACATTTATTATTATTCCCCCTCCTTGCCTGTCCAGTCTGTCTCTACAGTATGTGTGAATGCCTGGTACATGTATCTTAGTAAGGGATATTGTAGTTGAACCATGATTAGGTAATTACTCTAATGTCTGTACAATGTTGACTTCTATCAAAAATTGATCAAAATTTGGAAAGTGGGTGACAGTGTTTTTGTATGTAATTTTTGTTTTTATGTCTAACTGTTTGTTACCCGTAATGTAGTTAGTAGCAAGTGTTTGGTTTGATTGTCTGCTTTTCAGTTCACTAAGTGCTTTTAATTCATTTCTCTGCTGTAGAGTTAGTTCGTTTCTAGTTTTAACTTTATGTTGAAATTTCTTTGGGTTTTTAAAATACTTTTGGTACAGACAGAATCTCTCAAAATTATTTTGATAGGTCTTGATATAGATTCCTCATCATCTAGGTTCAGTTTTCCCAATCTAATAGTATATTCAACGTTTTCCATGGCTTGTATATCTATTTGTTTTCAATATCTAATGATGGTTAGGTCATCAGATTTTTGAATTTCACTTTCGTCTTTTGATTATTTTTGCATGCCATAAAGAATTATATTTTTCTTGCGTAATTCATGCTCCTCAATCTCTCTAGTGATCCCAGAGTGAGTGTTGGGGTTTGCTCCACGTGTCTTAATGTTTCAGAGTTCTGTTAATATTTCGTTTACTTGTTACTTCAGAATTCTAACTTGTCACATCATTTTTCAAGTTTCTCCTGCCCCTCCCTGCAAGATTTGATGTCTGCTGTAAGTTTATTTACTGCATTTGCAGTTTTGTTGACACCTTTTTTGATACTTGTCATGTCCTCCTTTTGGTTACTTGTGAGTTTGATTTCAAGCTTTAAGAATTTATCACTCAACTCCTTAGTAGGTTTGTCTAACTTTTCTCTAAGAATCTTCACTAGCTCTTGATTCACAATTATCTCACAGTTAGATGAGCAGCAATCAAATATTTCAGTGGCAGATTTTTCACTTATGCTTAAACCACAACTACGGCAACACAATCAACAATACGGCTTTGGCATGTCTTAAGTTAAAATGACCCTGTATATCGTTTTGTTGCAATACTTACAGATATTCATGCCCTTGATTTTCTATCTTCTTTCATTCAATTGTATAAATTTATAATGAAGCATTGGAGTATCCAAGTTCATCAATTACAATTAATAGTACGTTTCCCTCACCAAAATCGCTCAAGATGTTATCAGGTGTTTTGCACTGCAGAAGCAAGGTGTGGGAGCAGTGCTATGCACAACCGTCCTTGTTCATCACTACACTAGAACTAAATGTTATCAGGTGTCTTGTGCTGCAGAGTTGAGGCACGGGAGCGTCACTATGCACAACTGACCTTCTCCGTTGCCACTGTAGCCCTCAACACATATTCTAACGGTTAATTCTGATAGAGCTAAGTTCGAATGGTTTTTCTACTTTTAATAGGGGAAAAAGAAAATCCTGTGTTGTTGTTATGAACCACAGACTGCAAGCAAGGTTTCCTTCCCCTTCCTTGTCCCATCCTCACCCGGACTTTTGCACACGCGTACATGCACACGTACACACACATGCACTACAGTAACATACATGCTAGGAGACCGGACGGGAGCTTAGAGGTTGTCGCAGCTAGGGTGGTGCCCCATTTGCGGGAGATACCGGGTTGGGGAAAACCTCCACCAGCCAACGGTAGGTTGGTGCCGGATCTTGCCATCCAGGTGGGGATCACTATCACCTCCCGAGGAAAAAAATGCACTACACTTACCGGACTAATGACAGCAGTTGACACACCAGAAATCACTAACACATTATAATCAATCAACCAGCTGTTGGCGCTTTGGAGTGCTGTAGTAGTATAATTTAGAAATACAACAATGGAGTAGCACTTGAAGTTGCAAGACAAATGCTGCCAGAGAGCTCCAACAATCATTGAATGTGAACAGATTTGACGATAATGGGCGAGAACTATGCACACAAAATTAATTTGGGTGTTATGAAATCTTTTAAAAAAAATTAATCTTTAAAATAAGGTCATGCACAATTTTTGGAAAAAACTAGAAGTTTTTGCAGTACTTCACATAAAGAGTAAATATGGTAATGCTGAGCAAAATGGAACATTGTGTCCATGTACTACATCTGTCATTCTGGGTTCATTATGGTGGCTGCACATATTCCTCTTCTGGAGCCTTGATTCTACTCAATTGTTGGCCAGATCTAGTATCATATTCATTGTTTTTAAGTCAATCCATGTTCGTACATATTTTGTTATATATTGTCAAACTTTTCTTTTACAGGAATGTTGTATCAACTGTGAATATGGGGTGCACTTTAGATTTACAAAAAATTACATTTTGCACACGAATGTCTGAATACAACCCAGCACGCTTTTCAGGAGTGGTAATGAGAATACGTGAACCTCATACTACAGCATTAATATTTCGGTCTGGCAAAATGGTTGTAACTGGTGCCAAAACAGAAGGGGAAGCCCACTTAGCATCTCGAAAATATGCAAGAATCATTCAAAAATTAGGTTTCAGCGTAAGTTGCCTTGCGATTACATATTTTGCACTATGCATTATTTTACAGATTTCCTTTACTTATGAATTTTCTCCTTACATAGTTTCTGAAATTGACATTGTTGAACTTCAAACAAACTGTTTGTAGATTTGAAAATTTTAGCAAAGCAAATTTATGCAACTGGTATTTGTGTTTCTGAAGGTTTATCATACAAGTAAAAAATATCTCTTCCCAGAATCTTGATTCACATGATTTTAAAACATATTTTATATGAAAGTCATTGAAAGTATAAATAATTTTTTAAAATTGTGTTTATTAGATGCAGGAATTGTTTATATTGTATTTACATTTCCTTATTTCTTTTAAATTGTTTTATAATATGCATTGTGTTATTTAAATTTTATTGATTGAACATCGTGTTTCATAGTTTGGTTGGTACCATTGAAAGAGTTGGCAGTGGATTTGTCCGAGTATTTGGTGATTGTGCATGTTAAAATTCAAAGGCTTTTATGTTTGGCATTTCTTCTTTCTTGTGCAAATTTCTTGGGTCGCCTGCGCAGGCACAGGTGCCAATGAGTTGGGCACGAGCACAGGCGCTTTAGTTGTTAAAGTGCCCTTAAACCTTAATCATCTTCATCATTTCTTGGGGTTTTAAGTATGAAAACTTAATTCAATATTTTCCAACCTTTTTTTGCATACGTTTAACCAGTTATTTTGGTACTGAGACTCATAGCAGTGCATATTTATCCTTATATTGCCAAGAGCCAATGAAAGATGATGCACCATTCACAGTAAATGTGCCATGCCTGGCAGATCAATGTTTACATGATTGTTGTTCCACATTGTGCTAATCATTTGTGATGATAGTGCATTTTCATTTCTTTATTTTCTTTGCTTTCAGGTCAGATTTATGGATTTTAAAATTCAGAATATTGTTGGAACTTTTGATGTAAAATTTCCTATTCGTGTTGAAGACTTGAATCAGGTTCATGGCCAGTTTTGCCGGTAAGACAAGTTTTTGAGTTCTCTTGCACATATGTGAACTAACAATTTTCTTCTGAATTTTCATTAGTTATGTTAGATGAATTGTGATGACAAATGTTGTGACTGACCTTCTTATTTCAGTTATGAACCTGAACTTTTCCCTGGATTAATATACCGTATGGTTAAACCACGAGTGGTACTTTTGATATTTGTGAATGGAAAAATTGTTTTGACCGGTGAGTATATTTCAGCAATTCCACGTCTGTGTTTAAATGTCCTTGATATATAAATTCATATCCACATGGTCCAGCCTAGATGGCCAAGATTGGTGAAGTTTCAATTCGTGGACCAAAGTGTTCCAAGTTTGAATCCCACTTGGGCATGGATATTGACCCTTGTGTTGTGGTATGATGAGCCTACCCACCATGCCTCACCTTTTTAAACTCATCCCATTTTTCCTGGCTTACGTGGGTAATGTAGGAGCACAGTATTTGTGATATGTAGATGTTGCACCTGGGTTGCATCATTGTTTAACCCTTTCAGTAATGCTTTTTTTTTTCTAGACAAAATTCAAATTTATCATCAAAAGGCTTTTAATGTCAACTTAATCTTTCAGTTATCGGTTAAACCTCCCTGCCCTTAGTGAATCTCAAGGCCTTTTAACACTATAGAGAACCATCCTATGTTCCATTTCCTAACTGCTTGCTATTAAGCCTCTTCTGACAAAGAATTGCCTCCAATTGCTAGTGATTTGTGGGTCCATGGTGGCACTTAAATAATATTACAAGCGTAGTTAGGGCAGTTGACAAGTACATTTTACCTGGGAAAAGATTATTAAACTTGTTATTTGGCTATGTTGTGTGCACCCAGGCACTAGTTAAAATCACAATTTTTCAACTTCCCAAACTCTGTTAACTTCAAGTGGTCAGAGAAAATGCCATTTTTCTGATATATTTTGTTTTTTTCTCTGTAACTCTTTTAACCTTAAGTCTTGTAGAAAAAGATTCCAATCAATTTTAAAGAGGATAAAAATATATATGAATGTATGTATTTAGTATAGGGAAAGTTATGTAATGCTGCACAAAAAACAGCTGATTTTCAGCAGAAAATAATTAATTGCTCTCCTGGGATAAATCCAGTTGCTAAATTAAGATGAAATAAATCCTCTATCATGTGGTGTTACCAGAATCCCTGTTTTGTGGTTCCTTGATACCGAAAAACCAATTGATGGCAAAACATCTGTCTGTCAGCCTGTGAACACCCATAGCACCTAATTCATACTTACGTTTTTTACATTAAATCTTTACGAATTCTTTATAACAAGAGAAAGTTATGTAATTGTATGACACAAAACGGCAAATTTCACCAGAAAAAAATTACAGACGGATTCTGCTAATGAAAAAGTGGATAAATCCTGTTGCAAAATTTAGAATAAAAAGTATCTAACTTGTGTAGCCACAATCCATGTTTTGTTGGTTCTTGATACTGAAAACTCGATTGATGGCCAAACGTCTGTCTGTCGTCTGTCTCTATTTCTCTTTGTCTACCTGTCTCTGTCTGGATCTATTTCTGTGTCCCTGTCTCTCTGCCTGCATCTATTTCTGTCTGTCCCTGTCTGTCTGCCCCTATTTCGGATTGTCTGTCTCTATTTCCGTTTGTCTCTGTCTCTATTTCGGTTTGTCTGTCTATTTCGGTTTGTCTGTCTATTTCGGTTTGTCTGTCTCTATTTCGGTTTGTCTGTCTCTATTTCGGTTTGTCTGTCTCTATTTCGGTTTGTCTGTCTCTATTTCTGTTTGTCTGTCTCTATTTCTGTTTGTCTGTCTCTATTTCGGTTTGTCTGTCTCTATTTCGGATTGTCTGTCTCTATTTCGGTTTGTCTGTCTCTATTTCTGTTTGTCTATTTCGGTTTGTCTGTCTCTATTTCTGTTTGTCTGTCTCTATTTCTGTTTGTCTCTATGTCTGTCTGGCGCTCTGTCGGTCTGTCCGTCTGTCCGTTTGTCCGTCCGTCCACCCGTTCGCCTCTGCCCGTTTGTCCGTCCGTCCGTCCGTCCGTCCGTCCGTCCGTCCGTCCGTCCGTCCGTCCGTCCGTCCG